GCCTTTCCTCAGAATGAGTCCACTTTGGTGCCAGTGCACTTGCACCAAAGCTCTTTGATTTGATCCTGAAGATGCTGTTGACGGGGCAAGAACCGATCCAATGGAAGGGTGGCTCCTTGTGCATGCTGCCGAAGGTACCGGCACCAACATCTCCTTTCCAATTCCGTGGCATCATGCTGCTAGGTGTTTTGGTTCGGCGTGTTCATGCCCTCCTACGCCCTCCGCTTATGGAGCATGCAGCTCTTCACAAGCCGCCCGGCCAATTAGGTGGATTTGCTCATCAAGAGTGCTGCTTTGGTAGCCTGTACATCCAATCCTTTTTGCGCAGGGCATATAAAGCAGGGCTCCCTGTGGCCATCATTTTCGTGGACCTTAGTGCGGCTTTCCACTCTGTCATTCGTGAAATTGTTTTGGGATCTTCACTTGGCGGAGAAGCTGACAGGCAAATTCTTTATGATGCTTTGTGGAAAGAAGGCTTCGATGAGAAAGGAGTTGCCTCCCTACTGAATCAGCAGGGTATGATGGAAGATTCGGCCTTCACAAGGCTGCTGAGAGAGTTGCGCAGCAGGACATGGGCAGTGATACATGGCCAAGGAGTTCGCACCACAAGAGGGACGCGACCGGGGAGCCCGATAGCAGATGCGATGTTCCACTGTTTGATGGGGCCCATAGTGCAGCGGCTCGAAGACCACATTGGACAACGAAACCAACAAAAGATCGCTAGAGAACAGCCAGCATCAGATGGTGCACAAATTGTCTGGGCCGATGACCTTGCAATTCCGGTCTTAGCCACATCCAATGACGATCTGGCGATCGTAGGTCCAGCAGATTTTTGCGATTGTGGAGGAGGCCTTTGTGAGCAAAGGTATGAGGCTGAATATGTCACGGGGCAAGACTGAAGCCATGTTAACCTATGTTGGGCCTGGTGCCAAAGAAGCCCGAGAGCTGATGAGGCGTGATTCTCGATTGCCTCTGGAAGGAGATGGTGAACGATCCTTCTCACTTGGATCGCAATACAAACATCTTGGCACCACACTCACTTCAGGTGGGAAGCTGGGGCAGGAAGTCAAGCGGCGTGTAGGCCTTGCTTGGGGAGCCTTCCGGACGACGGCACGTCAAGTCTTCACAAATGTGGCATTGAAAGAGAAGGCTCGTTTGTTCCTTGTGGAGCGCCTGATCTTCACCAAACTTTACTATGGTTGTGGTAGCTGGCCTTTGCTACAAAATGGAGATTTGAGGAGGTTGCAGGTTTGCCAGGGCAACATTCTCCGGCGCACTCCGCCAGAACAAAGTGAAAGGGAGGGCAGTCTTAACGGACATTGAAATCCTTGTTCGCACTGGCTGTGCTCCTGTACGAGTTCGCCTCGCGCAGCAACGTCTCCTGATGGCGGCTCGGCTTGCCCGCTATGGGCCGGCCTTTGTCATTGCTGAAGTTCGCAGGGAAGCAAAGGAGCTACCTAATGGTTGGTGGGCTGGCCTGTAAGAAGGTCTCACGTGGCTTGGATCGGCCACAGCGGTTCATGAAGTTTGGCATTGGTGGCAAGAAGGTCGGCCAGGATGGAAACGAATCGTGAAGCAAGCTGGTCAGAAGCATGTTTTCATGCTGCCCAGGTTGAACCGGCCACCTGCGGGCCCAGATGCAGAGGGGGACACCTTGCAAGACCTCTTGGACCAAATGCAGTGTGTATGCCACTGCGGAGCCGCCTTCCAAAGCACAAAGGCGTTGAGGTTACATCGAGTCCAGATGCATGGTTGGCGCAACGTGGAACATGGCCTCATTCACAGCACGACGTGTGTCGTCTGCCTACGGCAGTACTGGACCTCCAATAGACTCCAGTTTCACCTACGTTATGCTTCCCGACCAGGGCGACTTAACAGATGTGGAGCATGGATCAGAGAGTTCGGACTTGCAGAGGCACATAGGGAGGACTTGCCGGCTGACAACCTGGTTGCGCTCCCTGGGACGACAAGAAAGGATGCAGTGCCCCTTGTACCTCTGGTTCTTGGTGCTTGTGCTACCTGGAGGGTGAGTTCTTGAAGGAGAAGCACTTGTTGTGCACTCAGGGGATCTCTTTCCGAAGTGACCCGCAGACAGGGGAGGCGCTCTTTGCTGATTTCCATGAGCAGTGTGCGAAGTGCTGGACAGTGACGCAGATGCGTCACCATTGGGAAGACTTTCCTGAATGTGAACTTTTGGGCGCACTGTTTGTGTGGTGCATGCGCTCCGATCTACAAGATCAAGACCTGACCTGGTGGCAGGCAGTCATGATGAGTTGGCAGCTAGGCCAACACCTCCTTCATGCCCATGATCTCGCAGTACAAATTCAGGCTTGGCGTCCACCATGAGCAACCAGTGAGGGCGGTGTACTCAGGTCCGACCGGACACCCTGAGCCGCTGCATGCTGTGCGTTTGACGCCTCTGCCGGAAGTGCATTGGCGCGGCGCGTTCCGATCGTTGTCCCTCCGTGTGAATGATCTGAAGTGACCGCTCGTTCGGCTAATTTAGCTTTTGGTCAACTGACCGCTTTTCGCTATAGGCAGACGCCTACAAACAGCCGCGAAATGTAAAAATGTAAAGAATGCTTCGCAGGGGCTTGAGCTTTGGATTGGCGAAAAAATCCAGCTGCAGGAAGTTGTAGGTAGGGCATGGTGCATTCCTCGCAAGCAAGCCAAGCCAAAGCTTCTGTGAAAAGGCATGCTGTCCCTGACTGCGCGCAGGGTTGTTTTCAAGTTGCCTTGGGATTTGGGTTGGTTAGTTGGAGTCTTAAGTTGAAGGGCTGAGAGGCAGCGCAGCGTGCGCAGCGCTTCTTCCCAGCAGCCAAGCCAGAACTTCTCTGGTCAGTTATGCTGTCCACACACATTGGTTGACATCGTTTTGGTGAGTGTTTGAGAGCCGCTGCGGAGCGAACTGGCCCTTATCCAGCTTTGTGAGTTTGAAAGCCAACCTAGGGTTTAATTTACAGTTTCATTTGATTGGGTCATGAACGTGATCTTTGAACAATTCACCACCAGAAGCTCATTACTCACACGTTTCTGTCCATGCGGGGTAAACAACCCCCTCTCTCCGGGTGAAAAGATACAACCCTTTCAATCCAAAAGGAGCCGCACGCTTTCACACTACTGTAATCAAGAACAGCTTCAATGACATTCAACAAAAGAGTTTGTTTTCACTTGCCAACCTACTGTACAGCAATCAAGTTTGCAGTTTGGCATTGGAGTCTTGCAAGAGCAGTGGTGAGAGATATGGTTCCAGTAGTTTCTAGAAAGAACGATAAAAAACACGAAGAAGGAAGGGTCTTTCTGCCATTTGGTCTACAAAGACTGGCACAACAAACAAACGGAACAGCTCCAAGGCGGCTGCAACCTCAGCAGAACTTGAACCGCGGACTCCCATTTGAAGGGCCATGCGTTTATGACGAGGGGATGAACAAAAGGCAGCCTGGGGTCCAAATACCCCGCTGGCGGCTCAAGCTTAAGTCCAGTGCTCCATAAATGAGATGACAGAAAGCGAGGCTAGTTGAGAGAAAACATTTTGTGAGGATGCAGCAGGTGGGGTTTGATAGAATAGAACAGTTAGTTAGATGTGATGAAATAGAACGAGCATGAACCGTGATGATGCGAGGTGAAGGACAACAAACTGAAATACAATCAACTCTGATGCGACTTGAGGTGAAGCTCTGAGGAAGGTATCCTTGGCATTTGTCCGATATGATAGGACTCTGTCACAATCATATCTTTCACAGTACTCCCTGGCCGTCAGATATTTCAAGGGGGCCCTAAGGTACAAAGTAACGAATTCTCAGGAGTGCAGCAAAAAGATGCAATCACGGCCAAACTGGAAAACATATTACGCAACCAGTTGTTGCCTCATGAGCCTCAGGCAAAGCAAAGCCAGAGCTACCCATGGGCATACGCCACATGCAGGGAATGAACTGTCAAGAGTTCGCAGGCGCAAAAAGGACACAGCCACCCACCCCCAGACGGCATCACCAATTCCGGGAGACGAATGCCAAGATATGCCAAGTGCACACAACCATAAAGGTCAAAGTCATCCAGAACAAAAAAACATCCTAATAGCGATGGTCTCCAACCTACTAGCGACGGCCTCCAACCTACCATCGATGGCCGCCAACCTACTAGCGATGGCCCCCACCCTAGTAGTGATGGCCTCCACCCTAGTAGCGATGGCCTCCAACCTATTGCCGACGGCCTCCAACCTACTATATAGTGATGGCCGCCAACCTACTAGCGATGGCCTCCAACCTAGTAGCCATGGCCTCCACCCTACTAGCGATGCCCCTCACCCTAGCAGCGATGGCCTCCACCCTAGTAGCGGTGGCCTCCACCCTAGTAGCGATGGCCACCAACCTAGTAGCGATGCCCCTCACCCTAGCAGCGATGGCCTCCACCCTAGTAGCGGTGGCCTCCAACCTTGTAGCGATGGCCACCAACCTAGTAGCGATGGCCTCCAACCTAGTAGCCATGGCCCCCACCACCAAAGTAGCAATGGCCTCCAACCTATTAGATCCACCCTAGTAGCGATGGCCTCCAACCTAGTAGCGAGACTGAAGATTGCCTTCGAAAGCTCTGGCTTTGTCACAGCTGTTTGGCTGGAAACACCTGCAATCTGTTCTGTGAGCCGTCATCAAGGTATAAAACTAGAGAAGGCGCAAACAGTCACAGTGAACATGATGAGTGGAAGAATCCGAAGAACAATCGAGAAGAAAATATGATGTCAAGATCAAAAATCCCATCTTGCAGCGGCAACTTGCTCCCAGCACCTGCCTTTTGAGAACTTCTACGTTGTCACCGCGAGGGCAACTGTTCCCTTGGAGACTTATGGGTTTTCCCACTTGACTTGGCAAACAAAGAGAAACAAAAAAACCTTGAGTAAAAGTTTACCTCAAGAAGGATGCGACTACTGCTGTTGAAGGTTCTAGATTGTCTGCGTGCACTTGTTTCCCACGCAAACTCACCACAAGTCAAGGCT